TTCATCATGAGCAACACTGTTAAACTGCCTTGGAAAGCTGCACAGGAAATGCTTTTGTAGTGTTTTATCCAGTTATTTTTCTTCTTCAGCATACATTATGAACCATGCAGTCTGCCACGCAGGAACAGGAATTATAATCTCTACTTCAGGAGAGAAAAAAGGAGAGAGAAGCGACATAATACTTTTTTCTGTTTAAATTTCATATTTATATTCTGTGAACCTGTAACAAAAGCAGGTAGGCCCTGAGTCTTGCTTTATTACTGCAGCTACCTTAGATACAGTTGCAATTTCAGATAGACAACTGAATAGACTGGAGGGGGAATCAGCTGGAAATTATTTCGTTAAGGTTCCGTCTTTGGCTCGTTCTAGACAAAAGAAGCCATTGTTATGTATTCAGATGACACAACTTAAAAAACAAACCACAATGGATGGTTTGTAACTACATCATTTGACAGAAGTCTTTCTGCACGTTCACAGTTTAGCAATCTTGGTGCCATGTAGACAATAATAGAGGAAATAATCCGCATCTCTCTTTGTAAACAAGAAAAGCAGTTATGGAATAAACCTACTTTACATGTATCCGAAGAAGTCCTAGATTCTGTTCTGTTTAGCCAGATTCCCCAGAATATTGCTTTCAAACTTTACATTCTGAAAGCTAAGCATAGCCTAGTATTCAGAGCAGAATACAAGACATGTTTGTAATTACTTATACTATAGTTGATTGGAATGATTAATTCAGATGAGACAATTGTCCTTCTGGGTACCAATATTATGTCATTATTGTTCAAACTGTAGAAGACAAAAGGAGAGGAAGTACTGGTACTATCAGGTTTCATAGCAGACACAACAACAAATCTCAACTCTTCAAACTCTTAACTCTGTATTCAGAAACTTGCTTATGGCAAAAGCTTACAGACACAGTACAGCCACATTATTTGCTTTACTGTAGACAATAAAGAAGCCATATACACACAGAAAATACATTTTCATCAGTGCACAGAAATCAAAGTCTGTCTGTCTCTGTCTATCTATCTGTCACTCTTGCAAGGTTTAATTTATAGGCTGTTCCCTCCCCTGCTTTTGACTCAATGTAAACTTGGATGCTCTCTTCTGAGCCTTGAGGTTGAAAAGCACCTGCTCAAAGTTTACACAGCAGTTGTCTCCTCTGGGAAACACTGGTAACTACTTCATCAACTTTATCCCTTACATCCAAGAAGAGATTGAAATACATTCACTAAAGCCATATATTATATTACAGTGAAAACTCAGTTTCTCAGACCTTGATACAACAGACTTTGGACGCAACAGCTCAAATTTCCATGATGATTACAGCATTCCCATAATATTATTATACAAATGCATCAATTTACACTACCCATGTCACACATGACATGCATTGAGAGATATGTATTTCATGCCATTTAGAGTAAGGTTGCTATTATGCAAATGAGGAAAATCACAGTGATGATATAGTTTCATATTTAGCAGACAGTTCTCTATATAATAGACACCTCTTCCCATTAGTCAGTTAAAATAAAATTTTACTGTATTTTATTTATTCATACGGTGCCTGCCATCCATTCGTATCAATGAACAAGGGCAACTGAGAAACATGGGGAAAATAGCAATTAACTTTAAAAAAAAAAAAAGAAGAAGCCAAAATTGGGTAATAACATGCCAGAACATCTGGGTAGAGATGAGCAATAAATTTATACCATTTACTATAAAGTAAATAATAAATGACCAAAGGTTGAATAATAACATTCTGAAAATGACCTTCCATGAGAATTGGGTATTGAAAAAAACTTTCACAATATCAGAACAGATAGCACAAAAAGAGGAAGGCATGTTGATCATCCAGCGAAGGCGAGGCACTTTTTGGGTTGCCTAATTTAATTGCACATAAAGTTACAGTAAAGAGTGAGCATGGTGCAGTGGTTAAGGCACCAGGCTAGAAACCGGGAGAGCGTGAGTTCTAGTCCTGCCTTAAGCACGAAGCCAGATGGGTGACCTTGGGCCAGTCACTCTTTCTCAGCCTAGGAAGGAGGCAATGGCAAGCCACTTCCAAAAAACCTTGCCAAGCAAACTGCGGAGACTGGTCCAGGCAGTGGCCAGAAGCCAACACTGACTCAAAGGCACCAAAAAAAAAAAAGGAGTTACAGTAAATATAAGATAAATTATTCCATAAAATAACCCATACTATTTTCTTTCTTACCCTTCAACTAGATATCAATGTTAGATATATCTCCCAAAAATGTACTGGGAAGCTTGGAAGATCCTTGGATCGGTATGAGTGGCTGCTGGAGGAAGAAGGAATTAGTAAAATCAACTCCACCTTCACCAAGTAGGAATTTATGATGGCTCTATTCTATAAACAAAAGGGTTTCCATTTGCAAGATTGCAACTCAGGATCCAAGTCATAATGATTTAATTACCAGAAGAAAAAAAAAAAACTGCACTGACCCACAAGCATGATTGTATACAAATCTCAATTAATTCAGCAAGGTAGGATTTCTAAATAAGCATTAAGATACCCTATTAAGCGTACAAACCATTATTAAGTAGACTGATTTTAATCAAATAACTTTAAAATAATTTTCCAAAATGTCAAAATAAATAGATTTAATTTATTTATTTTCTAATTTGTGGACTAAGCCAAGATCTTAATTATTATAACAAATAAAATATTTGTTGTCAAAAAGAACTTATATTAATCAAGTATATAATCCAAAAACTCATTATAAGTATCTTATTCAACAATTCTACATTGTGTGGAAGAGAAATTATGAAATTACATATTCAGTAAGGTGACTGAACAAGATTAACCTTACTATAATGCAAACGAGATTCCCTGTCTAGTCCTTTGCACAGGAAATTAGAACGTTTATTTTCATTTTCAGCTACCTGCAGATTATTATGCCCCAACCTAGACCAACTCTGGTTAATCTTAACAAGGGGTTTTCAAACTTTTTCAGGCCATGGAAACTTTCAGTTAAAAAAAAAAACAATTTCCTGGAAAGCTTGATCAAAAGGTGAATCTTTAGTGATAGAAAATTGGCTGTCTTCGAGTGATGTGATCTATACATCTGTATCTATCCTTAGTATCTCATGTAAGTCAACAGGTTTTCTTAAAACCCCAGGGTTCTACATGACAAGTTTATTATCATGTACAGGCTGATCTTAAACTGTAATTTCTGATCCTGGGAGGATTTTCTAGACAAACTAAAAATTAAGAATTCTGAGTGGGTTGACTTAAAAAGCTCTGTAATAACAAGACCAGAATTGAATGTTGCTGTACTGACAGTGATCAAATCATGGCTTGGGACTGTATACAACAAAGACTTTTTAAAAAGTTTTTTTTAATTAAACTAACTGAAGCTAAAAGAGAATTTACATATTTATTTTATTCCACCTTTATGTTAAGTATTTATAATGTCCATCCTTAAAATACATGCCTCAAAGAAATTGCCTAAGGCTGCTTTGTCAGCACAGATGATCCAGGCAAAGATCTTTCATTTTACCAAGACTTTGAAGCATTTGAATATTTTTTCTGAAGTTTTCTTTGTGAGACTTTATGGTTTCTTGTTGCATTTTACCTGTTTTAGCAAAAGTGATGGGTATCCTTTTGGGGAGGCAAAATGTTTGGATCACAATGGGCTGTACAATTATGCAAACTACATGGGGCTCTGATAATTCATTTAAATGCATTTTTGGTGGACTTTTTCAATTCATGTTAAGCTTGCTGTATGTCTTATACTACTATTTCTGTGTGCCTCCTGCTTCAAACTGTGAAGAAACAGAATCACTATTTTTTGGCAAACAATCTGATTTCTAGTATGTTATGACTGTTCTGGAATCCAGGATGAAAGGCAACATACAGGTTATTTATCTACATTAGCAAAAAGGTTTTACTAAACCAGTTCAGGTGTTAATCAGGGATCACTGAGCTGAAAACAAGTAAATGCCCACCCAGGCACTTCCTCTCCCCAGGAACCTACCTTTTGTGTTGACATTCTGAACTTCTTAAACTATGATGTTCTATAAGGTCAAAATAAGGAAACTGAGATTTAAAAGTTTCCAACAATCCACAATATGAAAATAGGACAAGACAAGAA